GCACTGAATTGTTATTTCTGTAAGGTAGAATTTTTGGACAATTTTGATTTGTTTTTCTATTTATTTTTAGGATTTTTTTTTTTACATTAACATGGCTCCTTTTTACTAAAAACATGAACATATTTTCAAAAGAAATAAAACTTCTGTAGGTTCTCACTGTTCAGAACACATGGATATGGTGGAGCCTAACATCCAGGGAAATGGATTTTGAGGAAACAATACACATTGTCACTGCAGCCTGACGATTTTATTAAAAGCAAGAAAAATCCGTTGTGCCATGTGGTGGGGAGCACAGCAGGCAGCTGGCAGCTCCTCTGAGTTGTGGCTGCTGTGGAGATCTTGGCCTTCCGACCCTTGGGCTGGCCTGTCCAGCCTGGCCTTCTCTCAGCTGAGGCCCAGCAGCAGCGGGGTCTTTGTGGGAATTCTCACTTCCTCTCCCAGGGAGCTGTGCTTTGCTTGGCATCTGGCTAGCGAGGAGGTGAACCTTGTCTGCTGTGGTTGACCCAGTGCTGGTCTTCCTGCCTTGTCCTCTATGCTCATTTCAGAGCCTAGCCCACTTGACTACACCCCAGGGGTGCAGACTGTGACTCCCAGCCTCAAAACTCCCTCCATGTCAGAAGCTGGCTTTGATCTCACCTTCAGGGATCCAGTTTCTGTTGAGGTCTTTTAATCCACCAGGTCTAGGGGTTATGACCTACAAAATCCCCACCCTGATGACTCACTTCAACCTTGGCTGATCCCATCTGTGTTCTGACCTCTGTCCCCAGCAGGCTGTCCTTGAACCCTGTTTGTGGTGGAGAAACTTAGACCTTCACTGTTAATATGTTCACATAAACCTATGGCCACCAGAGAGTCATTAAATTCTTGTCTAGAACTCGTCATTGAACTGTGTTAGCATTTATATCCATGTGGGGTTTCAAACAAATGAATTACACTCTTCTCTTTTGTTTCCCATTATTATTTCAGTTTGACGTAATGCACAGTCAACATAACCTCATTATCAAATCCTATCCTCCTTTACAGAAATTAAATATTTTACAAACATATAAAAGCACAGAAAACATCACAACAAATACTTGTGTCCAGACCACCCAGATTTAACTAATAACATGTTTTAATGATTGTTTCAGGTCTGGAATTTTAAAAAGAAATTTGACTTCTGTGTATAGGCAGAGCTGCCCTCACGGAAATAGCAGAGCTGGCAGAGTGCCCTCCTTCTGTCCCCTTCCTTCCTTTCTGCTGCAGGTGACTAACCAGGTGTTGGTGGCCCTCGTTTACAAGGGGGCCATGCCAGGCTGCTCCCAGAACAGCCCTGCTGCAATGTTGCCTGGGGATCTAGATGGGTCTGTCTGGAGTCCTCTACCAGAAATGAGTCCTGGTCATCCGAAGCATGAAAAATTACAAGCCCAAAGAGAAAGTTACTAGGACAAAGGAAGTTTTTTGTTACTGCAGGGGAATCGCTAAGCACCTCGGTGAAGAAATGCATCCAGGAAAGGGCAGCAGTTGGAATCCCAGCTTGCTAGAGCTTCTGTCTGCTTCATTCTTCACTCTGTCCTTACTCAGTTGGAAGGCAGCCTCCCACAGTTTCTGAGTTTACATACAACATGCGTGGCGCATAGTGGGGCTGCCTGGCATTTCTTTAGTCTCACAAGTCCACATGTCCAGGGGAGAGAATGACCTTCCCACCTTGGGTTGGATGTCCACCTCTGGTCCAGCAAGCTCTGGTGAGGGTGACAGGGTCATGCATTACAGACATGGGTGCAAGCACGGCACTTCTGGGATGCTGTGGATTTGGGGGCTGGGGACTGCAGTATCAGTTAGCTCCCTTTTCCTACACATGCTTGGGTATCCTCCAGGGGGCGATATACAGTTTGAGAAATACACAGCTGGAGTATCAGCAGAAGCTAGTCTAGTGTAGGGACCTGTCTAGTGTAGGGACCTGGAACTTGCAAAAGTACAAGACGGTAAGGCTGATGGTGAGGAGAAGGATGACAAGGCTGACTGTCATCCTGACAGTATTCACTGCAGGCGTTTCCTGGGAATAAGCAGGATACATCTAAATGCACAACAAGGTCTTGCTTATATTTCCATACCAGCTCAAAGAACCCTAATTAATGGCACTGACCATACAGAGAGTTTGATAAGATGTTTTTTAAAGAAAACAATGTTTAAGCTCCAACTTGACATGGAAAACACACCCTCCTCCATGGAGGGCCCTGCAGGTGAGCGAGGTGCACAGAGCATAGACAGCCTGTTGGCCGCCATTGTCTGTCTACAGAGAACCAGCTCTCTAGGCTCTTCCGCCCTCGCCGTTGCAAATTTCAGGTTTTCTGGGCAGGGCTACAACACCTACCTACTCGGCCAGCAGTGGCTTGAGTTTCAGGTCGGCAGCAACACGGCATAGGACTTTAGCCAACACCAAGTCTGTCTGGCTTTAAGGAGGATATGGGACTGACAACAGTTCAGTGTGCGCTGACTCCTGGCCAAGAACATGGATACATACTCGGCTTGGGGAAGTGGCTTTCTCTGGGCTCCCTCAGCTTTGTCCTTCCTGGTCTCAGCCTCTGCGGGGTATGTGAGAAGCACCCCTTTACTCGTGGCTGACAGAGATCGAGGTGACAGGGTGTGCCAGTTGGGGGCGCTCTCTTGTCCTACACTCAGTATAGTCTTTTTTTTTTATCAGCCTCTGCGGGGTATGTGAGAAGCACCCCTTTACTCGTGGCTGACAGAGATCGAGGTGACAGGGTGTGCCAGTTGGGGGCGCTCTCTTGTCCTACACTCAGTATATTCTTTTTTTTTTTTTATTATTATCATAATCTTCTTTATATTACATTGGATTACATATAACTTTACATTGACTTCCATTGCTTTTTCAAAAGGGAATGCCATGCATGTCAGTCAATACAGAGGCATTGATCTTCCCGCTTTATCATTCAAAGTCTTTTCCATGCATTTCCCAATAATTATTATTATTATAATTTTTTAAAACAGTCAATCACTATTTCTCATTTTGCTTGTTAAAAGACTTCACCCATCATGAAATACTTCCCAGACCAGTCCAGTTGAGAATACTATACACGTCCACTGTCCATAGGTAGATAAAATCCTTCTCTACAGTGTATTTCTCAGTTGGTTTAAGGCAGTTAAAGGTTCTTTCTGTTGCTTATAGTTGCAAGTTCTTAATCCTTCTCTTCAGTTTCAGCTGGCTGGCCCAGAGGCCACGCGGCGACGGGAGGTGGGGGGCAGGCGCATGCTGCTGCCACCGGCTTAGCAGGGCCCCGGGGGGGACACGCAGAGCCCGGACGCAGCCTTGGCGCCCGGCCCGCCTCCCGCCGCCGCCGCCGGCTTGGCGGGGGGCCGGGGGGGCCCGGCGGGGCCCGGAGGGGGGAACAC